ATATTAGAATACTCTTCAACGTTGAACGCAACAGTTGCACTTTACATACAGAATCACATGCCAGTTCATTGCACCTCATGCTGATATAACACTACTGTATATAAATATTATATCTTTTACTATGCTTTTATAAGTTTATATTCCATCGCTTGTCGAAGAAAATTTTATCAAGTCTTAAACCAGAATTTTGTAACTTATGTTTTGGTTCGAAAGTATAATAATTAAGGTTTTTTTTTTAGCAATAAATTAGTTTTATTTTTAATTATGACGTAACTTATGATTTTTTATTTTGCAAAATAAATAGAAGCTTTTCAGTCTAGACTTTTATGATTAGTGGTGTTACTTGAGCCATACAAGTATACAAAATGAACACTATACATTTCTATTTATTTGAATTTTTTATCATAGTTAACATTTAATTTTAAACATTTATTAAACATATAATAAAGAATGAAATAGATATTGTATTGCAAGCTGTGCCACATTAAGAATTTTTTATAAAAAAAAATACACTTGAACAAAAATTATGAATTGGGATTTCAGATCAAAAGTTATAATGTGCAATTATAATTTTACTATATTATTATTTGTAAATATGTTATATTTTTATGATGTTAGAATTAAAAATCAAAGTAAAAAAGGACATTAAATAAATTAGATCATGTAAATAATCATCCAAAAGCACAAACTGAAAGAATAAATATGAAAAAAAATTGAATAAATGTTTGTTTTTATTATTTGTTTTTTATGTATCTAACACAGTTATATAGAAATAAGCTAAAATAATAGATAATAAATTAATCGACTGATAAGTAAATACAAGATGCAAAGAAGATTACGAATAACATTTTAGAAGAATAACAAAAATAACAAATGTATGTATAAATAAATAAAATAGAACAATATTAATATATACTATAATGAGATATAAAGTTAAATATTTCCAATATTTTAAGATTGTTAATTTCAACGTTTAAATAATTCAGTTTAGCTATCTTCCAGTTTATAAATTTATAATAAATATTTCCAATATTTAAACAAATATTTCCAATATTTAAAAACATTTAAGAAGTAAGTAAGTTTATACAGTTTAAAATATAATTTGAATATCTTGAATAAATCACTTAACCAAAATTATGTTTTAAAGCAACTTTGTTAAAAGTTAAATATTAAAGTGCATTGTGCTATTTGGATTTTTTTTTAGATCTAATTATAGTATATAATGTTTATATTGTACAAATGTTAGAGGTAATATCAAATATGTTTTCAGTTTTTCAAAAATATAAATAACAATCAAGAAACTGTTATCTTGAATATTATAACAATATAAACAACTCTCACTAAAACAAGTTTTCTTATTATCAATGAGTTAGAATATCCGCTTTACTCTGCGATTTGTATCCTCATATATGTACCAAAATTTAAAAACAGAATTTTAATGGTTTATCTGTTATGTCATTTCAGAAATAATTGTAGTATTGAAGTTATAAATTTAAATAATTAAACAATTACTTATAATATTATAATTTCATACAAGTTTAAATATCTGGTATATATGCACACACGCACACACGCACGCACGCACTCACGCACGTATTTATATATTATATATTTATAATTTATTATACGTAATTTTTATAAATATAAATATTAAAGTTATTATTTTACTTGAAATCTTTTGGGAATTTTTAAGTGCTTCATAATACAATACTTTTAACTAAATTTAGTTTTTTTACATGAATATATAAATAAGTATTGTAGTAAAATATAGCAAATTTTTGAGTTATGTTTTCTGTTTTGAATGCGAAAAAGAAGCAAATTAATTTAATGGTTGTATAACTTTTAGGAATGACATTTAGATAAACCATTATATCTTCGATAATTTTTTAGTACATTTTGTATGATACATTTGATTATAAGTCTGTACAATATATTTGTTATTATATACATATATAACTATGTTAAATACAGGTGATTTGATTACATATCCTTTAAAAAATTGATATTTTTTGGAAGATTGAAACAAAGTAAAATGAATAATGCTATCTATATAAAATTGAAATACTACATTTTAATTTGAATCTAAAAAAGAAAATTTTTGTTCTACACACGTATTTGATATAAATGTACAGAAAATCATTATTTATTTTTTTTTTTCTATCTGTTGCGACAAATAACGCGAAAAGTAAACTCAAATGAGAAAATATAATATTCAATTAGATTTAGTAACAATTTTTGGAACAAAATATTATTTCTTTGATTATGTAATTGTCTGTAAAGTAATTTCATTTATTAGAATATTAAAAATATTAAAATTATATTATCATGTATTTAATGCTTTAAATAGTTTTTAAAGTTAAATTTTTATTTTTAATTGTCGGAGTTAATTAATTTTTTAACGTGCAATAATTTTTTAAAAATTCAGTACATTTATGCATCTATTATACAAGGTGGGGCTACATAAGTAGCATAATTAGGAAAGAAGAAATTTTGTGTAAATACATATATATAAGTAAAGAATGTGTGAAATTTTTTCAATTATTTTTGAAGATTGCTTGAATACGCAAATGACAGCTTAATTTTCTTCTTATTTCATTATCGATTGTTTTGTACGAGATAATATTGATGATATAATATTATACATGATAACATTGATGATATAATATTAATTTTTGAAATGTCATAGAATTGGAATACAAAATTCTATTCAAGCGGAAATATTGAAACTTGTTAATTCCTTTTTAATTCATGTTTAATTTATTTAGCGTGAGATGCTGCAAGAGACAGAAACAATGGGTAAGTTTCAATTCGCGCATCCGACAAACTGAAGATCGGTTTTCTTTTCAAAATCTTAAAGTTAAAAAAAATTTCATAGCACATTTTTTACTTACGTTTCTCTATATACAATTTCTTCTTTTCTGCTTGTACTATTACTTTCATCCACTTTGTATACTATGATGTGTGAAAATAAATCAAAATTTCATTATAATAGCAATATTCAATAATTTTTTTTATCAATGATTCTTTTGTTGTACGTTACCACAATGTAGAACTTGTTTTTAATTTAATTAGCTCGCATCTTTTGGCATCTCGGAAGAACGTTTGCTATAACGTTAAATTACAAACACTATACTTGATTAACAAGAACGCCCTTTGAGAAATTTCCTTCGAGTGGCGATGATTACTTTGTTACTATAGTTATCGGTTACGGCAACGAATCCCTCGAAACAACATTTCACCGCAGATTGTCTGTTAGTTCGCTGCATTATTTTGGCACTACGTGTCTTCGATTGTGACCTGTCTTGACTACTAGTTCGTTCATAATTCTTTTCTGAGTATTCTCTTTTTCTCTACACTCATGTAGGTGTGTGTACGGTGTGTTCTTCAAGCCCCTATTCCTTTCAGTATTTGTACTAGACTCTGATTTGATATTATGTTCAACAAAGCAATGTAACTCATTCGTAGAACTTGTTCATAGTATGCGTAAACACTGTGCAAACTTGGCACTTTTATGATTGTACGACTTCATCTGGCCTTGTATACACTATGGAAAACGTAGATTAGTTTTGGCATTCTTTCGCGTTGTGCTTGTGCTCCCATCGATTAAACTAAGAACTCCCAAGGCGAACAACGGATTTTCGATCTTCGTTTGCAATTGGCACATGATACGATCCAGACATATCCACATAGTCTGTCACTTTCACGCGTGCTGCGGAATAGGCTCACCCTCATCGGACGAAGTTTCACCACCGCTGATCACTTGACTTGGAATTGTTTCAGAATCCCATTGACCTATTTTCGTGGGATCCTTTTCGCAAAGTCTTTGAGCCAGCATCTGTTGAAAGAGAGAATGTCTGGGGTTTAGGTTAGGTTTATAGCTACTTTGAGCAATTGTTTGAATATGGTGGAATTAAAATTAGGATTACCAGAGTGGTCAAAATGACCAATTTGTAATATTTCACAGAAACTAAAGAGATTCACAATTTAAGTGGTTTTTTTTTTTATAAAATGTGCAAATAAAAGCTTGTATTCTTTGGTTTTCTATTACTTGTAATTTTATTTTTCTAAGTTTCATAATGTCATTATAATTTTATAATATAATATAATTTTTTATTGTTCAATTTTGTTTATGTAATTTAATATTTCTTGAATATTTTTTATACCGTTTAAATTTGTTTAAATTTGAATTTGTTATCAGATGTTATAGGATGTCCTATCTAACTTTGCCACCCTTAATTTTTTTTTT